ATATATCTACTCATATAATGATATAAAAAAATAATATAAAAAATTATTTCTATATCACTATTTTTTTCGTATTTTATTAGTTGGGCTCGGAATCAGAAGAGGAAAAAAAAATTGGGTTTCGGCTTTAAATTAAACTGAATAGAAATAAAGTAGGAGCAGAGCATTAGGATTTTATTGGACCGGACATGGGATATGATTTAAGGCCTACATGTAATAGAGTTAAGTTATTTACCAATGTTCCTTTCTGTGGGCCTCAAGGATATGTCCTTTCTTTACTATTTTTTTTTGAGGCCCAGAGTAGGGCCTGTGCTCAACCCTGGGCCTTCTTTCGTCCGCCCCTCAGACATGGGAATGACAATAGCAGAAATATTCCCTCATCCACGCTTGTGAAAATTGACATTAGGCTTCAAAATAAGATTTGATCGAATGACAACAAGTGAAATAATTTTTTTAATGTTTAATTTATATATTTTTTATTATATTTTTTATGTAAAATTTTTTTACTTAACATGCGACCCAATGCAAATTTCTTAACACAAGCATTTAAGCAACTTGAACACTGGAGTAGGACCTAGGTACCAACTTGCTCACTTTAATAAAACGCACCGAAGATCCATAATTACGACTACTATTAGTTACTGTTGCATGCTTTATTGCTTCATGCCTATCAACTTTGGATTCTACCTACTTTTTCTTTTTCTTTTTCGATTTTTAGCTTGTCCTGCTTTTTTGTAAGCAACTTGCAACCGGAAAGAAAAAGATGCCCAAAACAAAACCCCTGTGCGTCAATAATTCTACGTTGACTTGCCTGCAGAAAAATATAGGTCGATTGCGAGAAAGAAGAAAGTACTTGGAAAAATCCTTCTTTCTTGTTTTACAACAAAGTGAGTGATATGTTTATATTTAAGTTTTGTCCACGTGGTATCACTTTATAATTTTCGAGGAAATAACTTTTTATGTCAATTTAAATGGTTATTAAATATTAAAAAATATTAAAAATAATAATATATGCTTACCATGAAATAATAATTATCAAAATATAAATATTACAGAATCAATATTAAATTAATTAAATTATATTACAATCTTAACTAACTAAATTAGTTTATAATAAAAATATTAAAAACTTAAAATCATAATTATGAACATATAAATACTAATTAACAAATAAAAATAATTTAAAAAATTAAAACTTAACTTTAAAAACTTAAAATCTTTAATATGTTATTATTGATAAATTTCTTATTAACTACTATCTCTATCTTAAGGTCTGTTTGGTACAGCGGTTAAAATTCAACGAATGGCGGATAACGGATAACGATAACGGGTGGCGGTTAACGAATAGCGGATGATGAATAGCGAAAAGTGAGTAGCAAATGGTAAATAACAAATTCGATAAATATAATTATTTAGTTATACAATAATTAACCGTTGTTATTTAATATTAAATGAATAAATATATTTTTTTAAA